GGGCGATGGTGGGAACTGAGGCGGGGGTGGGTGCTCCAGTCTCCAGGGGTTCTAGGGCAGTGAGGGTCATGAGACTACAAGGGTATTTTGGACATTTCCCTCTTAAAATCAGCCCTCACTAAAAATGAGGAAAAGTCAAAGTAAGAAGTTTATTCCCGGACAGAGGGAGTATAATAATTGGTGACTAACTTAGTAATATTTGATTTGTAGGAACTAAATATGTAAAGCGACCTATAACTGGGGACCTTTTATGGAATTTACTCAAAATTATATCACCAAGGTTCCCATGACATTGGGTTCCAATGTCATGAGATGGCCCGGGGGCACTCCGGTGCCCCGTTCGTAAAATTGACTGTTCCTACCCCCCTAACACCCCCGGTAAACCCCCCCACCCCGCCCTGACCCGAACACCCCCCCTACGCCTGTCAATTTCACTCTGGAAAATCAAACTGATTCAACAAAACTTTCCTATCTTTTTCATTTTTTGTATATGAGTAGAAATGATATGCAAAAAAATAATAGAAATATAAATGCAAATAACTGATCAGTCCATTAAGATTATTTTGCCTTAACTACTATAAACTTTAAACCACATTATAAACTTGAAAAAGAAAGTAATAATTGAAACACGAGTAATTAGTCCTAATAAAAAGTTACTCCCTCCGTTCTCAAAAAGAGTTCCTACTTTGAAAAAGTGGAAAAATAAGGAAGTGTTAAATTGAAAAAGTATCCATGTTCTTAAATAGTATGAATATTGAAATAACAATATTGTATATTGTTGACTAAAAGTATGAATATTTCAATTTATAGTATGAATATTTCAATTTATCCAATTTATAGTATGAATTGAAAAAGTATGAATATTGAAATAAAATTGAAAAAGTATCCATGTTCTTAAATTGAAATATTCATACTATTGGTGACTAAAATTTAACACTTCCTTATTCATACACTTCCTTATTAAAATTGTATATTCATACTTTAAGAACATGGATAAAATTGTATATTCATACTTTTTAAGAACATGGATAAAATTGTATATTCATAAAATTGTATATTCAAACCCTGAAAACCTAACCTACCCGTATTTAGAAGCAACTTGGTAAATTAATGGGGGTAGATAATTTTTGTTCATAAAATTGTATATCAATTTAACATTAATTTATTCAATTTATAGTATGAATATTGAAATAACAATATTGTATATTGTTGACTATTTAAGTGTTCAATTTAAGTGTTCTATTTAAGTGTTCAATTTATAGTATGAATATTTCAATTTATAGTATGAATATTTCAATATACAATTTTAATTGGTGACTAAAATTTAACACTTCCTTATTAACACTTCCTTATTTCAATTTAACATGTTCTTAAATAGTATGAATATTGAAAAATAAGGAAGTGTTAAATTTTAATAAGAGAAAAGTATGAATATACAATTTTATCCATGTTCTTAAAAAGTGTTTTGTTGGAAGTGAAAAAAATGAAAGAGGAAGTGTTTTTGAAAACGGAGGGAGTATATTATTAATAAAATTTGATATAAGTAATTTACATATTTACAAAAAAAACTGATGTTATAATTGAAATGAAAGTTTATACAAAAAATGAAAACACCCCGTAATTGATATTTACATGCAAAGGCTTAGGGAGTATTTTGAATCTCTTAGATGTTTGTTAGCGACTCAGCACTTAGTTTTTACATAAAATCAAACCAAACTTTAACCTTTTGTTTGGCTTTCCGTTTTGGGTAAGAAGTGAACAAAAAAAACTAAATGTAGCCTTAAATATTGCTTTTATATTACCAAGATATTGTTGTTACAACTTTTTAATGCTTATATTTTCATTTCTAAAAATTGAAAAACAAAAAAACTAAAACAGAAACTGCATAAAACTGTACCGAATAACCAATGGTTTACATATTTTTGGTAAGCAACCAAAGTGTACCGACCTCTAACTTACCTTCTGTGTCTTTACTTCTAGGTAAAAACCAAACCCTGAAAACCTAACCTACCCGTATTTAGAAGCAACTTGGTAAATTAATGGGGGTAGATAATTTTTGTTTAGGTAAAAAACCTAATGTTCTATTTCTATAGGTATAATTTCCAAAAGGGTGAATTTTGAGGACTAAAAAAAATAAATTTTCATGTTTAACCATTTCTTTTTCTTGGCTCTAACATTTGCTTTCATTTAACTGCACAGACCATTAATGATGTTGCATTAGGAATCACTCAGGCAGGGTTGTCACGTTATCTCAATAAACGATATTGTAAGGCCCCCATCTCTTCACTTTATATTTTACTTGTTACTTATTTTTGCAAGAATTATATCATTTAGATTATATTCATTTGTTATCAGAACATAACTCAAAAAAAATTTAGACCAAATCTTATTTGGTCAAACAAATTCGATTCATTTCATATCAAAACATAGCTAAAAATATTCTAGACCAAATGTAAATAGATCAGATAAAGAAACTACCTAAGTCTTCAATATGGATGTTGATAAAATTAAAACGAAATCCTTGTCCGATCTAGTAAAAGTTTTCATCTTCAACTTTTCTGGTTAAACTCCTCTTCACCCCCAAATATCTTAGGTCAATGGGTTTGGGTATTGCTAGCTAATTAATTTGAAAAATGAGGTGGTGGTCAATCTCGATTGGGAACACTACCCCTTCCTCAGTGTTTGGCAACTTCCGCATGCTCACCCCGTATCTCAAATGCCAAATAGAATTTTTGACAATTGCAATGGTAGTAAATTTTAATAAATAGAACATTGGTGGGACACCCGACGACCCATTGATGTAGCCAAGCAGGTCCATCCCAATAAGATTGGAGTGAACCTAGAGCAATCAGATCGGGAAATTGGTGGAGAAAGCTTGATCGAAAAGTGTGTTTTGGAATGACGCTAGATCATGGGCGTATCTTTGGTGATAGCCATTATGTCGTCGGTGAAAGGTCAAGGAAGAGGCACAGATAAAAAAATGTGGGAACACTAGATCAAAAGAATAAATATCATTTTAAGGCTTTGATAATATATAGGAAAAAAATTCTTGATTATTCATTCATAGAAGAATACAGTATTTATATAGAGTACAACCAAATAGTCTATTTTAGCTCTTACTCCTAGTGATAAATACTATCTATATAAGAATAATACAACAGATAAGTATGCGAGTAATTGAAGATAATAAAAACCACATACACATAAGATGATTTATCTATAATAAGAATATGTTGGAAATAAAACCATTGTCACACCAAAAGGAGGGAAAGAGATTAACCAATATATATAAAGATTTAACTAACTCTTTTTTATAGTCATTTAAAATGTGCTGAAAAATAAAATCGTGACAACTAGATTGGAAACAAAACATATCATATTCATGTCGAGTTTGGGTGAGGTTTCGAGGGTAAGCGCAATCCTAAGAGAATACCTGTAGTACTTATTTATATACTTAGTGTTACATAATTTCTTTGCAACCTTCCTCTCATTTATCTATTTTAACATGCAGGTGAGGTGAAGAGTGGCAATTCGGGAGAAATGGATAAAGGGAATCATCTTCCCAACAACATCCGTCTTCGGTCAACTCTTCTTATTAATCTAAGACCAAATGCTGGAATTCAGGTTGATTACATTAAAATCTATTTCAACTAACCAAGCTTCTTTAATTGTTACTTATTTTTGTTTTTACGTATTGTTAGAAATTTAAATTTTTCATGCGCCACAACCACAAGCTTAAGTTTTTTGTTGAATGAGTTCTTTAATATGCTACTGAAGCCTTGTTAGACAAGAAGCTAAGTGACAGGTTAAAAACTCAGCGCCACTCATTTTAAAAAATTAATGTTCACATTCAAGCTCAAGAAAGAAACAAATCTTGTCTGCATGTGAGAGCGTGTGTTAAAAAATATAAATATTTCCTGAGCCACAACCAGTTAACCACAAGCTTGATCTTTGAATTGGTTCTTTGACGACATTTATAATCTGTAATGCTTCTACAATGAAGTTTGACTAATAATTTAATCAAGAAATAATTAATGATTTTTTTATATGGTGTGCTTGTAGGCAATGGCTGAAATGATGGAAAATGAGTCAGAAGCAAAATGGGGAAATTGGATTGGTTATGTCATCCTTCCCTTTTGCATTGCCCAGAAGGATGATCCACTGGATTATCTTAGAGATGCCAAGTTAACCATTGATCGCAAGAAACATTCTCTCGAAGCACTCTACTCATTTTTAATAGCAAAATTTGTGCTAAAGCTTTTTGGCATTAAGGTAAATTCACTTTTTGCTCACAAAATATCTTACTTCTGCTTCTAATTAGTAACATGCTTTCCACATGAAAATCCTCATAGCAAATTGGGAAATGTGAGTACATCGTGTTCACATGTGTTTAGTGTTAGATACCACAAGCATCATAATCAACCTAAAAATAGTTTATTAATTAAAACCTCCAAAAAAACATTTATTTAGATGTAATAAGCTTTTTCTTTAAGGTCTTCAAAGCTTTTGTTTAGAGTTTCAGTACATCTATTTAATTTCTTGCCCCC